CCCCAAAACCCCAAAACCCCAAAACCCCAAAACCCCAAAACCCCTAACCACGATTAATGTAGGTTATATTAGGGAATTTAAATATAATACAGCTTCTGATAACAACAATTACACGCCTCTCATCATAGATTATTCTCTTAATTTCACATGCATCCACATAATTTTTTGTCTTCTAAACTAGGATCTTAATGCACAAGTCTCTTTCCTCCTTGATTCTTCCTGGCGCCAACATCTTCTCTTGATTTGACATTGTATATTTCTTGCACAAGCACCTCAAACACATCTCTCACATTATGATCAGTGTAGGCACTGGTTTCTCTGAAATGAATATTATTTTCTTTGGCGAAATCATCAGCTCTTTCACTTGAGACTTTTCTCTCACTTGGGGTCTTCTCACAAATGTCTAGCTTATTTCCAACAAGCATGATCACAATATCAGGCTCGGCATGCTCCTTTACTTCTTCCATCCACTTTTTGACGCTCAAGAATGACTACTCCTTCGTGATATCATAAACAATCAGTGCTCCCAGTGACTTACGATAATGCCTATAAATTTGATTCTTCTTATTGATCATTAAATTATAATTTCTTACGCGCTGGTTATGGCTTTGAAACGTTCTTGACCGGCTATATAAAGTTATATGAATTCGATATGTAGTTACCTGTATCCCATATTTATGCTTTGACAGTGCCTCCTGTTTTCAACGGTACTGGTTTGGTTGCGAATTCTACTCCAATAGTGGGGAATTTATTCTTGGGCAAGGAACCTTTGATGTATTTAGAGAGCAAATGAGTCTTTCCTACTCCAGTGTCTCCCACCAATATAACTAAAACAAAATGAGACAAAGACTAACGATACTTTTGAAAAGGAAGTTGTAATCTTCATCGTGGCGAGTATTCATTTTCTTAATAGTTTAAATATTCTTAAAAATTAAAATATTAATCTAAAATCAATAATTTACACTCAAATTACTCAGTTACAATCAGTTTAGACTATCAAATACAATTCTTTTAATATATTCTGATCACCTTGATTTTAAATCTATATATGGACTAAGGGATCTATCATTTTGGACTTATTTCATATAGTTATCGTCAAACTTTGGAATTCTGTAGGCGCTGATTGGCTCCTCCAAATTAAAAGTGGTTTGTAAACTTTTTAAGTAATTTTATTAATTGTCTTTTCTGATAATCTCATGATATTCAGTAGTTTTTATAACATCAGGTGGAGTCATTGAAGGATGAAATATTGAGTAATTAACGAATGAAGGAGTAACTTTGGGATCATCTCCCAAAATATTTTGCTTGTATTCAAAATTCCAAAATTGCTGTTGAATAGGTTCAATGATAGATATTCTTTTTCTTTCTATGCTTTCATCTGCAACTGGACCTACAGGTATCATTTCCTTAACAATTGGCTAACTAAAGAGCTGTGTATTTAAAATGCTTGCCTATTCTTAAATTTTCTTGGTGATTTCAGGTTTAAGATTGTCAATGCCCTCCACTAACTTTACCCTATCCATTATTTCTTCTTTGGCCTTTTTAGTCTGGTTTAGTAAAAAGAGGAAGCTATAATTATTGGATGGATTAAAGGGATCTTAACTCAAATCAGTATCCTAAACTCCTCTATTTGATTTTTCTATTTAAGTATCATTGTTTTTAGATCCTTGTTTCTATAAATTCCCTTTATCCCAAAGTTCTAAGGTAGAACTTGAAAAAGTTTATCAGTCATTCGCTTTATTTCGCTGATCATCATTAGTGTCAATAGTAGATTTTTTTAAATTATTGTTTTATGGAGGAGAACCTTTTGCTTTAAAGCAAAGAAAGTTCTTCTTTTAAACTTTAACGCAATAGAATACGAGGCCACCAAACATTAAGGCTGAGATTACTACGCTTATAATAAGCCAGATCCACCACTAGATTTCTACTCCATCTGAGCTCTAATTAGATTAAGTGGTGGTATTATCTTGCAAAAATCTTTAATCTTATCTTAGCATGAATAATTTCTCCTAGTAGGTGTCAATATTATTGATGAATGAGTTTTGCTTCTTCAAAATAATGACTTAAGCATCTTAAAGTATAAATACTTTACTCATCAATATATATTTTACAATTTCGATAATAATTTTGCACTAATTTTATATAATTTAATTGAAGGGGTTTTGGGGTTTTGGGGTTTTGGGG